AGCGCGTCTCACGCGTGTCACCACCTTGACCTCCCCTTCGCCACTTGTCACGCCCTCAGATCTCGCCGGACCCCCTCGTCGTCGGGCATGCAGACGCCCTGAGCCACCCCAACCGTCATCGGACCACCACCGTCCCTTGCCGGAAACTGCAAAAAGCTCCAGAAATTCCCAGAAACGTTTCCTCCTTCATCTTCCTCCTCCGTCCACCTCCATCTATCCTTCGCCAGAGAACTCAACGGCGCCAGAAAACTCATCATTTGCGCCCAGATTCAACCACCAATTTTCCAGATTCGTCATCCAAGCTTGCGTCAGTTCATCATCCTTTTTCCAGAATTCATTCATCACCTTCATGATTCGTTCTTCAAGAACCTTCATCCATATCCATAGATCTTCATGAGTCTCCAGATCCAAACTCATAAGCAATAATCAACGCGTAACACTCCTCCCAAATTCTTTCCAGATTTTCCAGAAATCTTCAAGCAAGATCTCAACGCAAGAACTTCAACAAAGCTCCTCCTTCAACAAACTCAAGAACATCGTCATCTTCTAAGAGCTTTCCCCCTATTTTCCAGATCGTGAGAATCAAGATTCTCAGAACGTCTCCAAAATCTCCAGAACGCTCAGGAACGTCCAAGCAACTCCATCAATCCTCGTCAAATTCCAGAAGCTTCAAGAACTCACTTGCGCTCCATAACCAGGTACACATCCTTGCTTCGGTTGGGTTTTCTTGTTGATAGCTGTGATGTTTTGATTGCGTCTTAGATTCAGATTAGGTGAGTGGATTTGGGTGGAATAATGGTTTCTGTTTGAGATTCGTGAAGAATTTGAGTGGTTGTTGTGGGAGGTTTTCTCAGAGAAGGGAGAGTTGGGGGAAACGAAGAAGACGGCTAGGGTTTAGTTTGGGGGGGATGAACAGTGATCTGAGTTTGGAAGGGGAAATTAGGTTTTGTTGTTAGGGTTAATTGGGTTAGGGTTAGGGTTTGGGTAAGGCCCAAACGTGTTTGCTGAGGTGCACCCTCATTTTACTCGTTCACCCTCCCCTCGTGTGAGAGACAGAATTCTTGGATTGGGCCTTAGGCCCTTAATGCTAGTCGCACCCCCCTTTGTGCGTAAGCCCAGTGAGTTTGAACTGCAAAACCTGCTGACTGCACCCCCCCAGGCGTTTTTCTTTCCTCTTTTATTTTGTAATGAATTTCTGATAACATTGGGCCTGCGCCTATTGCTAGGCGCACCCCCCATTCAGGCCCACCTTAGGATAATGAACTGAACAACATTGCTGTTTGAACCCCCCTCCCATTTTATTCCAAATTTTAGTTTCTTTAATTTCTTTTAATATTTTTTTGCATATTGAAAAATTCATAATAAAATGAAAATGATTGATTTTTAATTTCTTGTTTTTTCCACCACTTTATGAAAATGTCTAGAAAATTAAATAAAAATAAAAATGCCATTTTATTTTTGTTTACTATTTTTGGTATATTTTCCATTTAATTGACTTCTTTTAATATCTTTTAGTGCATGCATATTATTAGAAAATTCATAAAAAATAGTAGGTTTAATCAAATAATTCCGTTCTTTTTTCTGTAGACTCGTAATTCAATGTAGAATTTTATAGTACAAAAACATTAGCTTAATCATGCATTTTCAGTTTAATTGCATTTTTTGTATTGTTTTGATATTGAATAATTGGTTTGTGGATATGTCTGCTTTGTTGATTTTAGTTCTTGCATCTGGTAATGAATTTTGCTCTGTTTTTTTTAGTATGTTGTCATAGAGCCATGTAGGTTTCCCATAGATTTTTGATAGATTTTTGTAGGATGTTCTGATATGTTTTAGTCTGAGCTTGAGGATAGGAGAAGTCTTGATGGCTTCTGACTTTGAAGTTCAACTGTGGTTGAACTTCAGAGATAGTTTCTTGTGGTTTGAGGATCTGTGGTTTCTTCTTGAAGATGAAGGCTGGATGAAGTTCTGTTGGAGCTTACAAGGATGCAGTGGATTGGGGCTTAGTCTAGGAGTTTGTTCCCTGTTTGTGAGATTCGAGATCCTGAAGTTTGAAGGAAGTTCATGGTACTTTCCTGAGGAAGGCACTATGAATGACTTTCATTCTTTCTTCTCACCTCTTTCTTAAGTATCCAATGATGTTGGAGCCAACTTGTGAGTTTAATTTCTCCTGAGGAGGAATGTAAACTGATCACATGTTGTTGAGCCACATGGGATACAATTTCTAAGTGGAAGCCTCCTGGTACTTTCCTGAGGAAGGTCCTATGAGTCTATTCACTTAGCTCCCTTAGTTTATCTAGGATTTCTTAAGTATCCAATGATGTTGGAGCCAACTTGTGAGTTTAATTTCTCTTGAGGAGGAATGTAAACTGATCACAGTTGTTGAGCCACATAGGATACGATTCCTAAGTAGAAGCCTCCTAGTACTTTCCTGAGGAAGGTCCTATGGGTCTGTTCACTTAGTTCCCCTAGTTCTTATAGGCTTTCTTAAATATCCAATGGTGCCGGAGCCTTCATGTGAGTTTAGTTTCTCCTGAGGAGGAATGTAAACTGATCACAGTTGTCGAGCCGCATAGGATATGACTCCTGAGTAGTAACCTCCTGGTACTTTCCTGAGGAAGGCACTATGAGTTTGTCTGCTTAGCTCCCTTTCTCTGGTAAGCTTGTTCTGAAGCTTGGAGACTGGGATTGATTCCTCTTGCTTAGAGTTTTGCTTAGAGTTTTGTTTAGGTGTTGCATAGAGTTTTGTTCAGGGATAGATTAGGGTTTTGTTTAGGGGCCCTGCTCAGGGTTAGTTTCTTGTTTTGTGGATAGAGGTATGTCAGGTTAGCTAGCCTTCTCTTTGGGTTGTTTGACTTGTATGGTGTTGTGTTGCATTAGACTTAGGGATTCATCTAGATAGTTCTGAGGTAGGTGCATCTTAGAAGTAGACTTTGTGTGCATGAGAAGTTAAGGTGGTCCTCCTTCTGCTTGTTTGTTATTGAGTGGCTTTGCTTGTTGGTATTTGGTAGAGCTGAGCTCCCTTGCCTTTGTGGTTTGCGGCCTTTGTGCCTTGTTTGTCTAGTTGATTGCATTCATGCATATTTTCAGTGTTCCTTTACTTTGCAGTTAATTCTCGTTTGCCGTGTAGTCCTGTTGCCATGATCCCTTAGGAGCTCTGACTTCTCCGCTGCGGAGTCGTTATGATAGACATTAGGATGGTCAACCAGGCATGATACCAGTAGGTAGATTCCCCTCTTTAGTCATAAGTTTTAGGGTGTCTTGTCCCTTTCCTTTCAGTAGGAGCTTTTGAGTAGCTTGTGTCGTAGTTAGCCGAACTACAGCTGCTCTGATTCCTCGTACCAGATGAGGATATGTAGGCATATGATGCGATATCCTAGCGAGCACACTAACAACTAACCCTTGTTCTCTCGCGGCTGTGCGATCGAGACTTTCCCGCTGACGACTAATTGTTATCCCTTTTCTCTTGCCCGAGTGCATTTGAGACCAGATCGTAGTTGTAGGTCCCCGAACCTTTAGGATCAGTTTGTTTTCTCGCTGCTGTGTGAGAGCCCCCTGTTTACCCGTAGTTAGTCGAACTACGTTTGCTCTGATCTTCCATGCTGTGTGGAAGTACGTAGGCACAGGACGCGATGTCCTGGCGAGCAACCTTTCCCCCGTTTAGTCGTAGGTAGTCGAACTACGTTGACTCTGACTTTCCCATTGCACGAGGGAGTACGTAGGCCCAAAACATCGTATGTTCTGTCGAGTCCTGTCCTTTTATTTTCTTTTCAGACTGACCATTAGCGTAGATAGATGAATACACCTTTTTCCTTATAAACACCAAGCGTGGATCCCATCGAGTACGATGGACGTGAGGGGTGCTAATACCTTCCCCTTGCGTAACCGACTCCCGAATCCAGGTTTTGGTTGCGATGACCATACCTTTTCCCGTCTTTGCGAGGTTTACTTCGAGCGTTTCCTTTCCCGTTCTGAGGGATAAATAACGCACGGTGGCGACTCCCCTGTCAAGCCGGTCGCCGATTTTCGCAGTAGCGACAGCTGGCGACTCTGCTGGGGACTTATAGCATCTAGGGACTTTTCCATGATGACACGGTTTATTTTCACCAAAATAAATAAGACTCCGTTAATTCTGGAATTTCACTTAATTTTGGAAGCAAACATGCTAAGATTAATTTGACAATGATCATTTATACTTCCTTCTTTGGTAAAAAAATTTCTGCATGTGATTAATTATACATTATATTAGAGAGTCATAATTGAATATGTTGCAATCAAAAATATAATAATTGAATATGTTAAAGTGTAGTTGTCTGGAATCAACATTAATTTCATATTTAGTATTAGTTGACATTTTTTTCTTCTATCAGATAAATAAGAGAGGGTGAGATTATTCTATCTAAAGTAAAGAGTATTTGTATATTACTATTACATAACTAACGTGTTTGTATCTCATTTGAAGCTTATCATTTTTCTTATATCAAACTTATCTTAATAGCAGAATAACATACACATAAACTATTCAGCATCATTGATTGACATGTCTTGTAACATGATATATACATAAGTCTTATTCAAATCAATCTATATACATGATTTCATCATGTCCTTTGAAGCATCGTGTAACCCCACACTTTTTGCTACAATCCAACTTCATTGACGTTTACTTACCCCTACAACACGGATGACTTGTTTCATACTTTTTCTTCTCCACTCTCACTCCTCTGGACCTTTCCTATTACAAACATCATTGTGATCATCAATCACAACTCACACATTTATGTTCATTTCTATAGTAAATACTAAGTGGAACCTATAAAGTTAAAATAACGACCCAGACTAATATTTGTTTCATGCAGTCGATAATCGTTGAAATCAGATCAGATATTTTAAATTTTAAGATGATATTTTATAAACCATCTGATCTGAATTCAACAATTATTAATGTCTGACGTCAGTTATCCCGACCGTGAAATTTCTTTTTTTTTCTTTTGCGTGCTTTATTTAGCCGATTTGCTACAATCGGCCTCGCCGAAACCAACTCTACGATTGGCGAGATCAAATTCCACCCATAGATTTTGTTGATGTATGTTGCCAATAATGTTACTACCCGCACCCAATCTTTCTGATCTTCCAATTGCAAAACAATGGACCCCACCCTCCACCTCAGCAAGAACTCTTTCTTTTGCAACCACTATTTGCACCCCTTTTTCAAACTCAAACACCATGTCTCCCACCAACCGTCCGATCTCAACCGCATCTCCATCAAAACAAATGTCAGCTACGCCACCGTACACGTAGCCCTTTTTAATTCTGGGTCCCACTTTTTTAACCAACTCCTCTCGTATTGTATTATAAGCCTCATCCACTAAATAAGTGAATTCGGATCCGGAGTCAATCATGGTTTGACCCGACCCGCCAGCATCCGGTTTGAAAACTGAAGGTGGAATATTCAATTTCTTCCCACCAATGCTAATTCCTAGTAAAGGAACTGTGTAGGCCAAAGGGTCCAAATTTGGCATGCGTTGACTTTGAGAAAAAGTCAACAAGTTTACGTAACGGAATCGCGACGAATCCGGGTTATCTCCGAGGAAAAACGAACCGGATGCGGGTTGAGTTTGTTTTAAAGGGGTACAATAGGAAAACTTAGTTATTTTAGCTTGAGAAGAAAACGAAAGACGACCAAGATTCATTCCCAAAATACCCTTAGCGTCTTTAGATTGAGTAGCGCAACCGAGGATAATAGGAGGGGTAGTTTCGGAAGGAGAGAAATTGATAGTTTCTCTGACGAGATTACCCTCGGCTAAAGTTCCGTCAGCGTAGAAATAAGAGTAATGACATAAACGGTTTGCGTCACAATCTGTGGGAAGGGTAAAATCGGGAACACGGGGTTTACAAAGTGGGTGGTTACATGGGAGAACATAGAAAGACGAGGAAAGAGAAGGATCGAAAGACGAGGTTGTCGGAAGTTGTTTATTCTGTGGTGTTTTTTTGTCGTGACATTGAATCCATGAAAGTTGGCTACCTGTGTCGAGAACCATTTGTTGAAGCTGTGGTGGTGTTCCAATGGGGAGAGTCACAACAAGAGCCATGGAGTATTTGAAAGATGATTTCACAGTTAAAGAAGATGATGAAAGGGTAGAAAGTTTAGTGTTTGTGGAAAGTGGAAGAGATGTTAAAGGGAAAGAGAAGGAGAAAGAGTTATTTGCATGGCGATGATTATTAGGTTTTGATGAGAAACATGGGAAGAAAAAGAAGGATAGGAGAAGAAGCATGCAGAGCGAAACAGAGGAAAACAGAGCCATTGAAAAAACAGAGCAAAGTGGGAAGGAGTGGTTTGAGGGAAAGGGTTGTATTTATATAGCAAAAGTTAAAATGAGGACGCGTTTTATAGTATGTGTTACCTTACATATGATAATGATGATGATAATAGGTTAATAAAGTTTGTGTTAACCATTCAATTTCTCTTTATCTAGCCACCCTTTTTTGAATTTTGAATTTCCAAGGTGGGGTTGAATTAATTGACAATTGACAAAGCATATTGAGGATTCTATTCTATTGTTGTGTATTACTATTATTTATTAGTCTTATGTCTATGGCTATGTTTCTCTTTTGATATAACATTTGCCTATGGCTATGATGCATAGGTCTTCATGGTGTTTGATTATTGAAAATGATTCAAGGGAGCCAGAAATTCTAATGATATAATATTCCATGGTGTTAGGTATTAGAACATTTAATTTTCAGTTTCCATGTTTTTATTTTAAAGAAAACCACTTATATGGCCATTTGCTTTAACAAAATAGTAGTGCATTAAAATTATTGTATCTAGTTCAAGTGTTATTTCTAGTTCAAATGTGATGAGTCAAATTTCACATGGATAAAATATTAAATATATATAAAAGTCTGATTTATATACCTAATATTTTAAGATTTTTAGTGAAGATATAACATCTTGTGACGTTGAGTATTAGTGAAGTTCTTATTTTTAACTTTTTATGAATTCTCTAATATATAGTTTGTGGAAAATTCATGGTAAAGATGAATTGATATAATTTAGATTACATTAGGCATTGGTTAGTATACAACATGCAATGTATGTTCTAAAGTTATATTGATTACACGATAAATTTTATGATAAATATTTTATTTATGAACATTTTTAGTAAAGTACGATAGTTCTTTTAAATTATAATTGTCAGTGAAAATAATAAAAAAATTTAAAATGACTTAATTTTAAGTGAAATATATATATTTTTTAGTTGAGTATGATACTTCTTGAGTTATAATTGTTGGTGAAAATGATATAAATTTTTTATAAATATAACTTCAAATAATCATATTTTTTATAATAGAATACGATAGTTGATTTGAACTATTGTTGTATGTGTATAATATCAAAATTGATGCATTTTTATTAAGATAAAAATGATTGATATTTGTTGAAAATATACATGTAAGAAAGTAAAATTAAAAAGAGTTGAGTGTTATTCGTGGACTTTTGATTCACTTTTTCAAAATGCATCATCAAAATTGCTTAAATTTGTATATAATTTTTCATTTTCCTTATACTTTGGTGTAAAGAGTGTTGTGAGATATAGTAAGATGGTTGGTTTGAAAAGTATTGGTATATTGAAATATATGGGATGGTTAAAGGTGTTTTTGTAATAGGGGTGTTCAAATTCATATTAATTCAAATTAAAATAGAAAACATACAAAATAGAATATTGTAGGGTGTGATAAAATGTCATTTTATAAATACTAGTCGGATTGAATTAAATTTTGATATAATTTTTAAAATCAAATTAAAGCAAATTAAATACATATATTTTTATATTTTAATATTAATATGATTAATTACATTAAATTATTATTAGTTTTTTTTTTTTTTAAATATAACTTATTAGATTTAAATATATAAAAAATAGTTCAAAAAAGGTCAACTAAATATTGTTCACAAAATATAGGTAATTATTTAATTCAAATATATTTTTATTATAGTACTAAATATGATAAAATTAGTTAATATTTACATATATTTGTTGCATTCAAATATAATTTTGTTGATATTTATATTAGAGATAGTATATTAATTATCAAATACATAAAATATCATATTAATTCAAAATTTCTAGTTTTGTAAAATATGACAGTAATTTGAAATGAATTTTAATTAGTTCATTTGAAGTTAATAATATGATAAAATATTAATTTAATTACAGTTTTGGACCTCTCTCATATTTTTACACTTAAAATTAACGATATTTTTATTTTTTAAATGACAAATTTCTTGTGAAAGATGATACATTATCGTATATAAATTTATTGTGAAACTTTATAAATAAAAATATAAATTAAAAAAAGGAACATTAGATCGATTTTCTATAAAAAAAATATGAGAGAAAAACCAAAACGTTATGAATTTAAATTAAATCAAAACGGTACATTAGCTCAAACTATTAAATGATTTTAAAATTTCTATATTTAATAAGTATTTTAAATCTAATAATTAAATTAATGAAAGTTTGTCACAATAATCTAACTCAATTGAAAGCAACAGGAATTTCCAATTACGAATATACGGATTTAAATTTATAAAACTTTATTTATTCATTTTTATAGGATGAACTTATGGTCATTAAATCATTAAATTTTTTGATACAATTTAATTTTTGCAACGAGTTATTTAATAAAATAAGGGTGACCTAGTTAGGTGTGGTAAAATGAATTGTGACACGTCCAACCGATCCGCGCACCCGTCATAAAATGGCGGGTTGATTGAGATTTTGTGTCATACTACATATTCAGCTGGCTCCGTTTTAAACCCACCTCGCCTTAAGTCCATTAAAAAAGGGGTTGGTTGCCTCGTCATTCTAGTTATCAATCACTAAAAAAAATATTTTGGTTGGTTGAAGGTGGAACTCTTGTTAATGGTTCAATTTTAGGTAAAATTTATGGATAGCTTTAGATTTTTAGTTGTCATTTTATACTTTTTAATTATTGGTTTGATGCTTTCTAATTGAAATATAAAAATAAACTTTTTAATTTATTAAAATATGAAGAAAAAAAAATCTTAAAAATAGGCGAGCAAGCCCGCTGCCTGCCAACCCGTCAACTTGGTGGGGCGTGCTAGATTTTTAAGTGCAATTTCACTTGGTGGACTTGCCCGCCCCACACTTTTTTTGGCGGGTTAAAGGTGGGGCAGACAGGCAACCCGTTTTTCCACCTCTAATCTAAATTACTCGTGAAATATCTTGATTGACCCCTTTATAACATGATTAATCAATTAACTCTCTAAGTTTGGTTTATTATTGAAACTTGGGAATTTGAGAGTGTGGTCATTTTAAAGTCTTATATTCAAATTACATTAGGCAATAACAATTCATGCGTTATGTCATTTAGTCAGCAGTATATGATATCCAATTTGTCATGTGATGGGACTCGATGTGATCGAAAAATATGAATTTATAGTTGTTTGTTATGGTTCAGAGTTAATGTTGCAGTCGACAGGGGACTAACCTAAAAGATTAATACTCTAACACTTAAGTCAGTAAGAGTATGAACAAATAGTGTTTGAATTATAAAAAAAATTAAATACTTATGAAGTGGTGCGCTTTCCTCTTTAAATAAAGGAGATTGTGTTAACCTATGATTTTCAACACTGCACTGAGACCCACTAAACTTGGTTTAGAAGAGTTTTAGAAACAAATCTACAAGATTAGAATCACTCTCTCTTCAAAACATGTCTAGTTAATATTTTGACACGAATGTGTGATGTGAAAGTGGTGAGTTCAACTTGCTTTTCAGGTGTTTCGAGACTTAGTGTGTTTTGACGTCAAAGACTAGGCCATCTAGAGACATGTTGACACCACTACAAAGCTTGATAGAGAAACCCCTGGACAAAGGTGGTTAAAGGTTGTGAAGATGGTTTTAACAATAAGAGCAATTTAGAGACAGTTCAAAGACCAACATGTGGAAGCAAAGTTGAAGACGAAATGCCATGTAATAGTGTATGTGTCAAATGCATAATAAAATACCATTGTCGACAGTTGTGAAAATATAATATATACGCATATTTCATTTATGTAACAAATCTTCACAAATTTTAACATTATTCCCTATAAACTCGAGTATCAAATTCACAAAGAGAAAATAGTTTGTGAGAAAAACCTGTATGAATATGCGTCCCATTTTTAATTTTGTAATCAAAGTATCTTTATTTAAGATACTTTTATTGTTTCTTTTATTTTATTTCAAGTTCATAGAACAATCCTCAATTATTCTTATGGATGTTTTTTTTTTCAATTTGTCCATATTCATAGCACAAATATAATTTTTCAAACCTATTGCACCATATGTCCTAGGATTTTTTTCGAGTTTAATACGAGGAGTGAATGAAAACATGTGATTTGATTTCCGAGAAACGACATAAAACAAATTGGCACACCCGGTAAGACCCTTTTGTGCAAGAAATTTAAAATTTTGTAGAAATTTTTTTGTGCTTTTATTGTTTATATTTGTTCTTCATACATGAAATACTTTCAATGTATGAGTGTTTATTTTCCTGAGAAGTGGTAAAAAAAATTGTTGAGATGACACATCCAAAAAATACTTCCCTTCCTCAGAATAATGCTCTAGATAATGAAGAACAACCAACCGAATCGACAGTTGATGGTGGAGGTACTTCAGTAACCGTTAGAGTAACCGCTCCTTTTGTAAGTGTATTATCGATCTCAACGACATTACCATAATCGGTGGCGCCCCTACCACAAGTAACGAGTATTCCAAATACTCCCAAGGTTACATAAGAAATTATATGAGACCATAGGTCTTCTTTTCTCTAAAGTTTCACGCTACTCCCTAGTAGTAAGGAATATCCATATGGAATGCCAATTGTAGTGATGGTATACCTACAAACCAATGCATCTATATATGCAGATACTGCAACGATTATTGCCTCTCATATCAATCCATTCTTAGCATCAAGATCTACTATAAGCAATCATATTCAAATGGCACAACTACAAGGAGGGTTATAATATATCCCTAAAGGTATGCCACCCCTAACCACTAGTTCCCTTATGTCTGTGAGCCAACAAATGGATGAAAGAAACCATGATGTGCTGAATATGCTTATGCAAAAAATTGGTATTGTGTTTAATCCTTTGATCCAAAATACAAATCACACTTACCAATAATTGGCGAATCAAATGGATTGAATTGGTGTTTCTTTGGCGCTCCTCAAGCACATATTCAACCAATCCATCAAGTCCAAGCATTCTTTGGAATTAATAACCCATGACTC